ACGCTCGGCTAGAAAAACTGCCCCGTCGAACAAAAGATAAGTCGTATATAATAGCTAATAGTAAGAGGGTATATAAATTGAATGCTGTTGAGGATGAATTTCCTGTTATTGTCACTAGGTAAGTATACAGTATTATAATGCATAAGACCATTCCCTTTTCCTTTTCGCAATTGATTTAAGTCCTTATTACTAAGCTTGCAAATCAAACTAGATATGAAGGATTCGAGAAGCAATATCGCCTATACTGTCCACGATGTAAACTATTCATTGCTTATGAAACCAGCGAAAGGCGCAAGTCAGGACCATATACTTACATTGTCAAGGGAAGTTTGACCGAATCTCAAGGAATCGTCCCACAAGATGCTCTATCGGAAAATGGTTATCAACCTGCTGATGCTCAGTCTGCTAACGATCAGGTCTAATTGGATGCGTCGGCCAGATTTTGTAATTAAGAGGAACCTTTGATAAGGCGATGGTGCCACCGGAAGTAGTGGATACGACATCTCTGGTGATAGTCTGTCGCAAGATACATTCGTCCAAGTCCGGAATGTCTGTCTCGAACGATCGAATTATTTTTATTTCGATCGAACATTTTGCTGTTGATATTGGCAATAATAACCATATTCAAAAGTAGCGAATTAGATGAGTTTTTCGGATGGGTCTAACGTAATGATAATACGAACCGGTCCATGAGGATTGGGAGATTTCTATAGATGTTTTTAATCGATAATAAAATGGCTTGATAAGCACGAACTGAGAAGAAGGAGGCCAAAACTGCCTGACTTTCTGATCTGGGAAAGTCACCTGAGATGATTTCGCATATTAGTGGTTGAAGTTGATACGCTAAAGTCTACTGGATTTACTCGGTTTACCTGTACTCCAATACTGCCTGTATCAGCAACATTAAAGACGTCTGCTATAATGCGTATTCTCAATGGAAATTCGCTATTGAACACTTGCTCTGTGGTTGACTGGTATGCGGGTTCTATGATTACAGCATCCGATCTTTTTAATAGGTTCCGAAAATCTACTGCTGGAGGCACGAACGACTATAATCGTGAAAAGCAAACGTGGTTAGAGATTAAGATGAATTTGCGCACGAGGATTTCAGTAATATCTTACTTCAATATAATCGAATAATGGTGTTATGGTTGTTACTGTCGTATTGTCATGGGCTCGCTGCAATCTACTTTGGAAATCACCGAGCTGATTAAGGTTAAAATCTTCGCCAAATTCCCTGATAAAAAATGATCCATATAAGTTATATTACAATGATCAATGTAAGAAAGAATTTGCGAGAAAGCATTGTAAGCACGTTTGTATATGAGTGAGTCTCTTTAATAGTAAGCCGAATAGATTCTTTGCTATTTCTTGCGAATGGTTATGTCTATTAGAAGGTAATACCGTTAGAGATAGAAACATCGAATATGCACGATCGCCTTCTACTAAAATACTACACGTACTTGCTTATATGCCTCAATGATCCTACTATCCAGACCAAGTTTGCCAATAGCCTTGCGGTAACGAAGAATCGTCTTGCCTGACCAGGAAGTCCTAGGAATGTATTTTCCATTACGTAAGACAGGGCAAGTAATTGACCCGCTAGGTTTGAGGCTACTACTATGAAACTGGGCTGCAAATAATTTTGTTTAATCTTTTTCATGCCACATAATTGATTA